TCTGAGTCATCTAGCTTCCGTAGAACAAGATTGCTGCTGAAGAGGCAAAGGCTAGATGGCGGCTTCACAGATGAAAAGTCCACGTTATCTTGTGCTTCTGTCCAAACCCTTCGCCTCATGGCCTCGGAGTGAGCTTGTCGAGCATTTAACACGTCTGCGATCTCATACTCCGGTCTGACCCTTGCTAGAATAATCTTGTGCTCGTAAACGTCAGCTTCCTCCATCTCTGCTTCCAAACGATCAATTTCAACTGTGTTTTTAATATCCTTGTCAACTCCTCTGAGAAGCTCGTACTTTACAATCGAAATTCGGAGAATGTTGCGCAACTCACACATTGATGGGTGGTCCACATGCCGTAGGTTTTCGATATCCGCGATGGCCAGCATGACGGATTTTCGTGTTTGACTCCGCTATTCGTAGAGGGCCTCCAAGATCCGATCCAGTGTCGAAAACGGGAGAGATCACGAGACGGCCGTTTCTCGAGGTGAAGTCGGAGTCAACACGGCATTCATCGCAGAAGGTTCGCACAACGAATATCTCTCACTTGTCGGGCTGTTGTTCTGCATTATCTTGTGCATATGGAGCCATCGTCATGAAGGGCGAGTCAGGATTGAGCCGAAGAAGACGTGAGGGCTCCCGTCTTGTGAGCCTCCAGACGATGCCTGCACTCACGGGGCTGCACTGTCAAGATGCCTGTCGTTGACCTATGGGCTGTTTTCACTTGTGAGCATCGGGCTGTCGTCCTGAAGGGCGAGTCAGGACGGAGCCGAAGTAGACGTGAGGGCTCCCGTGTCGCGAACACCAAAGTGATGCCTGCACTCACGTCAGTCCTTAGACGCCCCTAGTAGTCTTAGTGGCAACCGGAGTCGGGCTCCCAGGTCACAGCGGTGGTTAGGCCTCGCACATCAGCTTTAGCCATGGTGGCTTCACAAAAGTCCTCGAGGAAACGATGGCGGTCGAAATTCTTGAATTCCACTCCGTCTCACCTCTAAAGGTCCCGGGTTCCACGGCACCAAAATGTAGAGAGAACGACGAGCCGCCGCGCTAGTCTCGGCGACCTTCAGGGGAAAGGCCGCTCAGACTGGTCATGCTCAAGGCCTCCCTCGACGCGGACTGAAGATACCGACAATACATCGTCAACGACTCCACCGGCTGATTGCGGAAGTGTTTCCTTAGATATTCCTGTTCTGCTAGACGGTCGCGAAGTCAGCGCCTTAGTGGGCACTGGTGCGGACTATTCCATAATCAACGAAAAGCTGGCCGCCCTTCTCAAGAAAGTAACGACACCTTGGAACCGAACGCTGATTCGTACAGCTGGCAGGCATATCGTCACGCCACTCGGTATGTGCACGGCAAGACTGGAAGTCCGCGGTTGTACATTTGTTGCCAGTTTGAGCGTTCTCCGGCAGTGTTCTCGAGACCTGATCATTGGCATGGATTTTCTCAGGGAGCATGGGGCTATAATTGACATTCGACGACGTCTAGTCACTTTCGCGACCACAAACGCCACAACAGTTTACGCCGACCCCAGCCACTCCCGAGTGTCTCTTCACGTCGTCGACGATGCTGTCACGTTACCACCCCGTGCAACTGTTGTGGTTCAGGTGGCGTGGGTCGGAGTGATGCACGGTGAAGCAGTCGTAAAAAGCAATCACTGGCTTTTGCTGTCTCAGGGTGTCTGCGTAGCTAGAAGCCTTGTCAACCTTCGTGATGATCACTGCAACGTTTTTGTCACAAACTTCAGCTACGAGCACCGGTACCTTTTTTCTGGAACTGTCATCGCCTACGCTGACCCAGTTGCCATTGTCACAGAGTGCTTTGCTTCCGAGACCATTGGCACTGCTGAAGCGCCTTTCCGCAGCGTCGACAACAATCCAACGCTTTCTGAAGCGAACAAGCAGCTTTTCAGCGAGCTGTTGCTGGAGTTCCACAGATGCTCTGCACGTTCTTCAAAGATACGTCAAACACCGATAACAAAACACCGTATTATCACCTATGACGACGCGCATCCCATACGGCAGTAGCCTTACCGTGTTTCGCCAACCAAACGGCACGCGATTCAAACACAAGTTAAGGAAATGCTTCAGGATGGCGTGATACAGCCGTCAAGCAGCCCTTGGTCATCACCAGTCGTTTTTGTGAAAAAGAAAGATGGCACGCTTCGCTTTTGTGTCGACTACAGAAAGTTGAACAATGTCACAAAGAAAGACCTGTACCCGTTGCCCAGAGTCGATGATTCTCTGGACAAGCTGCGACGCGCGAAGTATTTTTCGTCCGTCGACTCTAAGAGCGGTTATTGGCAAATAGAAGTCGATGAACGTGACCGGCAAAAGACCCCTTTTGTCACACCGGATGGCTTTATAAATTCAAAGTGCTGCCTTTCGGCCTTTGTTCCGCTCCAGCCACATTCCAGCAAATGATGGACACCGTCCTGGCAGACCTCAAGTGGAAAAGCTGTCTCGTCTACCTCGATGATGTCGTTGTGTTTTCAGAAACGTTTGACGAGCATCTTTGTCGCCTTCGGAATGTGCTCGAAGCCATTAGATTGGCCGATCTCATACTCAAGCCTGAGAAATGTCATTTCGGCTACGAAGAATGAAAGTTTCCTGGTCACGTCGTGAGCGCCGTCGGTGTTCGGCCTGATCCTGACAAAACTGCTGCCGTCGCCGCTTTTCCACCTCCAACTGACAAGAAAACTATTCGACGATTTCTGGGTCTGTGCGCTTATTACCGGCGCTTTATTGAAAATTGCTGTAACATTGCGGAGCCACTATTACGCCTCACGCGTGGTGACACATCATTTGTCGTGGCTGATGAACAGCAGACTGCCTTTGCGGAACTACAGCACCGGCTCTCTTCCCCTCCCGTGCTCGGCCACTTCGATGAAGATGCTCACACTGAAGTACGCACTGATGCCAGCAAAATTGGTCTTGTAGCTATTTTGGTACAAAGACAAGATGGCGTTGAACGGGTGATAGCCTACGCAAGTCGCACACTGTCTCATGCCGAATCTAACTATTTCACATCAGAGAAGGAATGTCTCGTGGTCATTGGGGCAATTACAAAGTTTAGGCCATATTTCTATGGAAGACCATTTAAAGTAATGACTGACTATCATGCTTTCTGCTGGTTGACCATTTTACGACACCCTTCAGGAAGATTAGCACGATGGAGTCTGCGCCTTCAGGAATTCGATATCACCATCGTGTACAAGTCAGGCAAAAGCACAAAGACGCCGACACGCTATCACGAGCACCTCTTCAATCCGCCAGTACTAGCGCAGAAGAGGACGACGCCTTCGTGGCAACTGTCAGCGGACCGGATCTGATGTCGCATCAACGAAATGACGCCAATTCAAGAATGATTATAGATCATTTAGAAGGTGGCACTGCGCCCATTCCTCGTCCGAGGTCACGAACGTTGCCATCATTTTGCCTACGAAATGGCGTCTTATACAAAAGAAACGTCGGTGCTGGTGGCAGATCTCATCTTCTCGTCGTGCTTGAAGCCCTCCGTGATGACGTCTTATTAGCTTGCCATGATGAGCCCACATCTGGCCATCTGGGCTACTCCAGAACTATGAATTGGGTGCGACAACTCTACTACTGGCCTAAAATGTCTGCCGGTGTCAAACGCTACGTGAAGGGATGCCGTGAATGCCAGCAACGCAAGACACCACATTTAAAGACTGCAGGCCATCTACAACCGATCGATCCACCACGTACACCGTTTGAACAAGTGGGGATGGACCTCCTAGGCCCGTTTCCTTTGTCTTCTTCTGGCAACAAATGGAATATTGTCGCAACCAATTATTTGACGCGTTAAGCTGAGACGAAGGCGTTGCCACGAGGGACCGCATCTGAAGTTGCCAGTTTTTTATGCATCAAATTGTGCTACGGCATGACGCCCCGTCACATGTCATCGCTGAACGAGGGACATCATTCACAGCGAAACTCTTGGATGATATCTTCAGGTTGAGTTACACAACCCATTGAAAGACTACTGCGTATCACCCTCAGAGTAATGGTTTAACAGAAAGGCTAAACAAAACGCTAGCTGACATGATCTCTATGTACGGGGATGTGCAGCACAAAACGTGGGACGACATCCTGCAGTATGTAACATTTGCGTATAACACTGCAACACAGAAAACTACACGCTTCACGCCATTCCGGCTCGTTTATGGTCGAGATGTTAGAACTATGCTAGACGCCATGATTCCATACGAGGACATCGACAAGCTCTACCAATTAGCCCCTTGACATCAATGAGTACATTCAGCGCGCTGAGGAAGCACGTCAACTGGCCCGTGTGCACATCCGATCTCAACATTGCGCAGATGCACGGCGGTACAACACCCACCATCGAGAAGTTCATTATGAACCTGGTGACCAAGTTTGGGTTTGGACACCCCTTAGGCGGCGAGGTCTCAGTGAGAAACTCTTGAGGAAGTACTTTGGCCCTTACAAAGTACTCAGACGTGTGAGCGACGTGAACTATGAAGTGGTTCTAGACGGAGGCTCGCCATCATCACAGCGCAGGTTAGAACGCCCAGATGCTGTACACGTAGTCCGCCTAAAACGATACTTTACGCGGTGATGCGAATTTTCTTCCTGTTCCAGTGCACTCTTCATGTGAACAGTGAATGCCGTTTATTTCCGATTCCCGGGCCCAGGACGCATTTTCTCTCGTGCACTAATTTGTTTAATGTTTCTTTGTGTTACCTACTTCGACCCACTGCTGTGCACACTTTTGTTTGAGCATCGGATCGATGCTCTCTTGGGGGGAGGAGTAATGCCACCTGGTGTTCTGTGCCAGTGAACAGTGGGTCAGTTCTGTTCCGGTGAACGAGGACGACGAAGACGAGCAACCCGTGCCAGCAGAGACGTCCTTCTTTGTCTCTGAATTTTCGGACAGTCGCGTCCCTTTGTACGTTCGTTCGAGCTCTTAGCGCGTGACAATATATTAATGCAGGAGTAGATAAAGGACGTCAGAGGTCCTTCTCACGTATTAAAGCTTTATTGCAATTGAAAAGCGACTCAATAGCCAGCACCAATGACCAGAGCTTAATTCATTTTCAGCAGTCGTTCACTTCTTGCGCAAACCAATTGAACTAATGCCTCCGATGCCATCACCCAGAGCGACCGCTTCGTTAGGAGCCATGATGATCACAGCTGAAAATAAAATATGCTTTGTTTTCAACAACGAATATAACTCAGTGAGAAAGTTCACGTAGACCACATAAATGCAATATTATGATAATACGTTTGTATAAAAAGAGACGTTTCTGAAGACCACGTGCTCGGTCATCACTTTTCCGATTGCATTTCGGTGAAGGCAACATGGTAAAGAACAGTGTACTGTGTGATGTAGGTGTTACTTAAAGAACAGCAGGAGTTCTCTGTGGCCTCTGTATTAAATATATCGTGGGTTTCCAATGTAAATTTTACGTGGTATATAATAATATTAACAACAACAAGAACAACAACAACAACAACAACAATAATAATAATAATAATAATAATAATAATAATGATAATGATAATAATAATAATAATAATAGTAATAATAATAATAATAATAATAATAATAATAATAATAATGTCACGGGGTCGTGACGTGGCCGAAGACAGAAAACTTCGTGTTGGGATTAAACTGTTTATTTGGGCGAACCTGTGCCCGGTAAAGGGAAGTCTAATTACAGCAGCAGTCTTGCACAGATAGCAGTCTCGGACTGATAGCGTCGAACGCAGCGTCGGCCTTCGATCAACAACAACCGACAAACGGCGAAGCGCGTCGGCATTTATACTCTTGCCGTCGAATGTTCTAGCGTTATCGCTGGCGGTGGTGTAGGTTTCAGAACAATCTGTACCGTTCGCACAGTGGGCGTGATCTTATCGAAATGATCTACTACAGTCCGGAACCTTCTAGAAAACTGCAGGCGCGGTTTGCGCTGAGAATCGTGTGGTGTTTTGGGACGATAACAAAAACCTGGGAAATAAAACGTGGCATTGCCCCCCTCTGAAAAAAAGGCTTCGTCCCGATGCTTTAACTAAAGATGAAGGTACAATAATAATGCACGAAAGTACAATGAATAAACTACAATACAACAATAATACAAAAAACACTGTTTCAGTTTGTTAACGTGCATGAAACGGCTTGAGGCGCGCGACATGAACGACTTCAGGTCGCGATCGGCGTCGTTGAGAGTTCGTGATGCCGTCGGGGACAACCTCGTAATCAAGTGGGCCGAGACGTCGAACCACCCTGTACGGTCCGAAGTACCGTCGGAGAAGCTTTTCACTTAGTCCACGTCGGCGTATCGGCGTCCACACCCAAACACGTTCACCGGGCTGGTATTCCACGAAGCGTCGTCGAAGGTTGTAACGGTGGCTGTCGGTCGTCTGTTGATTCTTCATACAGAGACGCGCAAGTTGTCGGGCTTCTTCGGCGCGTTGAAGGTACTCGCTCACATCGAGGTTTTCTTCGTCGGTGACGTTGGGTAACATGGCATCGAGCGTCGTTGCCGGGCTCCTTTCGTAGACCAATTTGTATGGAGATATCTGCGTCGTCTCCTGCACCGCCGTGTTGTATGCGAAGGTCACACACGGAAGAATGGCGTCCCACGTCTTGTGTTCGACATCGACGTACATTGACAGCATGTCGGCGATCGTCTTGTTAAGCCGCTCGGTGAGGCCGTTGTTCTGTGGGTGGTACGCTGTCGTCCGGCGGTGGTTTGTTTGGCTGTATGCCAAGATCGCTTGAGTTAGGTCGACAGTGAATGCCGTTCCTCTGTCGGTGATAAGAACCTCCGGGGCGCCGTGACGTAGGACGATATTTTCGACGAAGAACTTAGCGACCTCGGATGCACTGCCTTTTGACAAGGCTTTTGTCTCGGCGTAGCGGGTGAGGTAGTCGGTAGCTACCACGATCCACTTGTTTCCGAAAGCCGACGTCGGGAAGGCCCCCAGTAGGTCCATACCAATCTGCTGGAAAGATCGGCAAGGTGGATCAATTGGCTGCAGAAGTCCCGCTGGCCTTGTCGGCGGTGTCTTGCGTCGATGACAGTCCCGGCATGTCCTCACATAACGAGTGACGTCGGTGGTAAGACGTGGCCAGTAGTACCTTTCTTGTATCCTCGCGAGCGTGCGAGAAACACCGAGGTGCCCTGCCGTCGGATCGTCGTGCAGGGCCTGCAGGAGTTCTGGTCGCAGAGCTGAAGGCACCACAAGGAGGTACTTAGCTCGAAGCGGTGAAAAGTTTTTCTTTTGTAGAAGACCGTTTCGTAGAAACAACGACGCAAGTGCGCGCTTGAATACGTTCGGGACTTCGGCGGTTCTGCCTTCGAGGTATTCTATTAGGGCCTTAAGTTCCGGGTCGGCCCTCTGTCGTTCAGCGATATCGTCGGTAGTTATCGTTCTTAAGAAGTAGTCGTCATCTGGGTCGTCGGGTAGCGGTTGGTCGACAGGCGCACGAGAGAGACAGTCGGCGTCGGAGTGTTTTTTGCCGGACTTGTAAATGACAGTAATGTCATATTCTGAAGTCTCAGGCTCCATCGTGCGAGTCGACCTGAAGGGTCCTTCAAGGTGGCTAGCCAACACAAGGCGTGGTGGTCGCTCACAACTTTGAAGGGTCTGCCGTAGAGGTAGGGGCGAAATTTCGACGTAGCCCAGATGATGGCGAGGCACTCCTTTTCTGTTGTGGAATAATTTGCTTCTGCTTTGGATAGCGATCGGCTGGCGTAACTAATAACCCTTTCATGTCCGTCAGCCCTCTGCACAAGAACGGCGCCAAGACCTACGCTGCTTGCGTCAGTATGTATTTCTGTCTCGGCGAATTCGTCGAAATCGGCAAGTAACGGAGGCGTCTGGAGGCGATGTTTAAGCTCCTGGAAAGCGTGTTCCTGCGGCGTTTCCCACTTAAACTCCACGTCGGCCTTGGTAAGATTAGTGAGAGGATCGGCGATGCAGGCGAAGTTTTTCACGAACCACCTATAATAGGCAAACAGGACCAGAAATCGGCGCACGGCCTTCTTGTCAGTGGGCGGCGGGAAGTCGGTGATGGAGGCTGTTTTCCATGGATCGGGACGAACTCCAGACTTGCTGATAACGTGCCCCAGAAACAAGAGCTCCTCATACGCAAATCTGCACTTTTCTGGCTTCAGTGTGAGTCCGGACGTCTTGATGGCTTGAAGTACAGCTTCAAGGCGCCGAAGATGCTCGTCGAAACTCGAAGAAAACACGACGACGTCGTCCAAGTACACAAAGCAAGTCTGCCACTTCAATCCTGCAAGTACTGTATCCATAACGCGTTGAAAAGTTGCAGGCGCTGAGCAAAGGCCGAAGGGCATCACCTTAAACTCGAAGAGGCCGTCCGGTGTTATAAACGCCGTCTTCTCTCGGTCTCTTTCGTCGACTTCGATTTGCCAATAGCCAGTCTTGAGGTCCATTGACGAGAAGTACTTGGCGTTATGGAGCCGATCAAGTGCGTCGTCTATTCGTGGAAGAGGATACACGTCCTTTCTTGTGATTTTGTTTAGGCGGCGATAATCGACGCAGAACCGTAGGGTCCCATCTTTTTTCTTCACTAACACCATGGGGGATGCCCATGGACTCTTGGACGGCTGGATAATGTCATCCCGCAGCATTTCATCAACTTGTCTCTTCATGGCCTCACGTTCTCGCGTCGAAACCCTGTACGGACTTTGACGGAGTGGTCTGGCATTTTCTTCGGTTATGATGCGATGTTTCGTGATTGGGGTCTGCCGAATTTTCGATGTCGACGAAAAGCAATCTTCGTATTGCAGGAGCAGGGCCTTGAGCTGTTCTTGCTTATCGTTCGGAAGTCTAGGATTGACGTCGAAAGCTATGGGAGGGGCTTGGTTCCTCTGAGCAGGTTCCGCAGAATCGGCGAGGGCGAAAGCTCTGGTGGCTTCGACAATTTCTTCGATGTATGCGACCGTTGTTCCTTTGTTCACATGTTTGTACTCATTGCTGAAATTCGTGAGCATAACCTTTGCTTTGCCTCCCCGCAGCTCTGCAATTCCTCTTGCGACGCAAATATTTCGGGTGACCAACAGATGCTGACTGCCTTCAACGACGCCTTCCAAGTCAGGTGATTTAGGAGCGCCGACTGAAATAATGACGCTTGAGCGAGGCGGAATGGTGACTTGTTCTTCCAGCACATTCAAGGCATGGTGTTCTGACGGCGTGGGTGGTGGTAGTGCTTCTTCTGTGGATAACGTTATCGACTTTGTTTTTAGGTTGATGACAGCACCATGGAGGCATAGGACGTCCATGCCAAGGATGACATCTCTCGAGCAACGCTGTAGGACTACGAAGTCTGTAGGATAAATACGGCCGTTAATGGTGACTCTCGCTGTGCAGATTCCTGCAGGCGTTACGAGATGGCCTCCGACTGTGCGGATTTCAGGGCCTTTCCAAGCTGTCCTAACTTTCTTTCACTTTGCGGCGAACGACCCACTGATGACAGAATAGTCGGCTCCAGTATCGACGAGAGCGGTCACACTGTGGCCGTCGATAAGAACGTCGAGGTCGCTAGTTCGCCGTCTCGCATTACAGTTAGGGCGTGGTGTCGGGTCACGGCTGCGTCGGCTTGTTCCGCTGCTTCCATGTTGCGTCGTCAGGCCACCTTCGGTAAGTGAGCTTTCGCCGTCAGGGCTTTGCCTGGTTGGCGTTGTGTTCGGAAAGCTCCGTCGCGGCGTCGTCGTCGTCTGAGGATCTTCGGTAGTTCGTCGCACAGCAACCGCACCTCCACCGGTTGCTGCCCTTAGTTTCCCGGATACGGGCTAGGAGACCGGCCCCGCGTTGGGCCAGAGTACTGCCGGTGGTGCGGTGACGTGCGGCGGCTGGGCGACGGCGAACGCGAAGGGCTTCGTGGTGTCAACCGAGTTCCTGTCAGGTAGTCGGCGATGTCACGTGGCCGTTCTCCTGGCTGTGGACGCGGTGCATTGACGGCGAAGCCACGCAGTCCCATCTGTCGGTACTGGCAACGGCGGTATGTGTGTCCGGCCTCGACGCAGTGGTAGCAGAGCGGACGATGGTCAGGGGTGCGCCAGACGTCAGTCTTCCTCGGTGCACTGCGCTGGGCCGCTGGCAAACGGTACGACGTCGGTGGGGGTGGTGGCGGCGGTGGCGTCTGTCGACGGAAGTGC